TGTAAGTGCGAAGCCATCTCTGGCACCACACTGGAGATGACATTTGCTTGTGAGAACATTGGAGAGGCCTGAAGCTCTCCTTTAAAGAGAGAATGGGCGCCCACAGCTCCTTCTCCTTTAACCAACTGCACCGAGTCTCCTCCTCATACACACACGGGCTTAGCCAGGCCTTGAAGGCACCTCGCCTTGAAGGCACCTCGGATGTATTTATTGTCCTGCAAGAGCCAGCTGTTTAATGAGGTACTTATTTTATCTCTAAGGAAATCTAGGCTTTTGCTCTCTGTGGAATTATTTTCCAAGAAGACATTTCAGAATGAGACTTGGCAGTATTTCTGTTTTGCAGATAAATGACCCAACAGAGCCCAAAGCCTTCTTTCTGCTCTTCTACTGGTAGGAAACAAATTCAGACTTCCAATCCTGGGGAATTTTCATTTCGTGCAAATTGGCAATTACTAACTACATTAATGGTGTCCTTAGAATCATCGTTAGTCATGAGGAGTTTATTCAATTCCCCCGATTTATATATAAACCAAAAGAGAATATAAAAAATATCACCAAACACCACAATCCTTTTGAATTCATAGCATAATATTTATGTGCAAATGGTCTATATTATGTATGCTATATGAGTAATTTGTGTGCGGGTAACCCAACAGATCTCTAGGTTCACTATTCAATTTAATATCTACCTAAGACTATTCTAATCCATATAATTATATCAAATGTAATATGTATCAACAGATGATGACATCATTTGATACCCAGAAACATTTGGCAGTGATTTTAATGAAATGAGGTCTTACTATGTGTAAAATTTTCGACTACTATTTGCCAAATACAGTGATTACTATTTATTAAATATGAATATTATGTACTATGCTGGGTTTTTAAATCTGATGTAAGCATACATCACGGACATCTTTTATGGCAATACATTTTATCTTAGCTGCTGGGGGACTGGCTAGAGTCTCGGAACATCAAAGGTACATGATGCCCACCAGGCACTACCACACAACTTCTTGCTCTAACCAGTGACCACATTTTCACGTAAAATGTCATCATAATTATTACCCATGCCCTTAGTTTCTTCTCAGGATCAATTTCTCAAGGAATGACTGCTAGATCTAATGACTGCTAGATCTAATCCAAGCATCATAACTCTTAGTAACTATTGCGAAAGTCCCTTTGCAAATGTTTCAGCATTTTTCTCTTTAGCCGGTAAGACATAAGGGGCTCTTACTTCCCAGATGTCCACTCATTGGGAGTCTGATCGTGTTTTGAGTTTGAGAGATTTGCTAGGTAAGGAGGTACTCCAGCGTTTCTTTCATTATTAGTGAAGTTGATCAAACATAGTGGCATTATTGGACATCCTTTTATTGTCTATTCATATCCTTTGCCCATTTCCTGCCATACTTTTGTTACTGTTCTTTGCTGACCGGAGTAGCAGCAAGTTAAAACTGAGCAATGTAGTGAGTGCTATGAGCCAGGTGCTGGACGCGGTGTTTCATCACGTGGAATCCTGTCCAATACAGGAGCGAGTACTAAAACTCTTGTTTTCCACCTGAGACAGTGGAAATAGTAAGAGGTTGAGAACTTAACCAAGGTCACACAACTAATAAATGTGATCTATGGAGATTTACAGCTCCTTATGTATATTATTATAGGTACATCTCATACAGACAATTAACCTATCAGCTTGTATATTGACATGCTCTTCTTAGTTTACTGCCATTTTCCACTTAACTTTCTGTAGTGCTTTTACCTGCTAGACTGGCTTGACTCAATTGTTACCAAGCATGCTTTCTTTTATCTGTTCTGTTTTTAATAGCTTGATCATCTGAAGAATATTTAAATCTGTGTGATGCAAATGCACTAAAACATTCAGAAGAATACAACATAGAGAACTAAATTGTCTCCTTTGCCCAAATGTGTCCTTCTGCAAACCACCCTCTGATTTTAATCATCTATGGTGTTTATTTATCCTGGTAGTTTCCCTATTACTCTTCATAATACACACTTGCCTCCGTTTCTTCATTTATGAGCCCCAGCATTTATATGAGAGATGTAGAATTTTAGTTAACGTATTCCTTCCTTTTCCTCTCCTCACTTCTATTTGACATGAATAATAATATCAATTTTGGTGGTAAGTACTTTTTAACTGTCAGTAATATCCTCTAACCTCTATTTCTTATCATCTTCCATCAGTAAGTATGTCTTAACTAAGTGGTTCAATCCTAATGGGGGGGGGAGAGTGGTTACTCTCTATATTCTTTGGTTCATAAAGTGCCATCTTTATGGAGGAATGCTTCATGAAAAGCAGGTCTATCTTTAGTCATTGTAATGAAACCAGAGAGATCTGCATAAGTAGAATTAAAGACACAGATATAAATTATAACAAGTATATTTCTATCGCCTAGACTATGTGGATAGAGAGATGCAGAACCTTTCTAACTCTCTCGCTTTACTTATCGCTCAGAACAAATTTGTCATGTATCTTAAACAACCAGGATGCGTGGGGGACAAGACAGAATAATGCAGGAGTGGAGATATGAGAGCCCATTACACTCATGCACGGAAGCATCACACTAAAACAAACAAGTGCAGCTGATGGCTGCGGAGATCGCTGTCATCTAGGACGATGGTGCTTTGTTTCTGTGCACCATAGATGCTTCCTTTATCACGGCAAGGGTAGCTGAGCAATGAGGCTGCCTTCCCCTGTCTCAGCTGACTGCTTCCAAGGGAAGGAAGGTGTTTCCTGCCCCGGACGGGGCTGGAAGACGGGGCTCATCACTGGGAGCTGAGTGAGGAGAGAAAGCACGGCGTGCATTTGTAATTGTTCTATTTAACTGTGCTCCCTTTTAACGATGTCCTGTGGACAAATTAAATGTTATAGCACGGAGGCCTGGTGGGGAAAGAAACGTGCAGAGAAGAGGGCTCCTTGCCTTCGTGGTTTCACGCCTGCTTCGCGGGTTGGGGGCGGGGGAGGTTGGCACAATTGAATTGTGCATCTGAATGTGCGCAGTCTAATTTTTCACGCTACGAGAGTGGCTTTGTGGCCGTCCTTTTCTTTTCCAGGGCTGAGGGCTGAAGCCAGGGCCTCTCCACGGGCTCTGTCATGGAGCCACATTCCCACACCTCACTAACTGGGCCTAAAACACCGCAGGCACAGAAGAGGGCGGAGAGAGAGAAGACGCGAGGGGGCTTTGCGTTTGTCCTTTTCCTGCACACGTCAGGTACATATAGTCTCCTCCCTCCCAAAAAGCTTGTCTAGAAAGACAAACCTATCCATCCATCATGTATATCTATCTATCCATCTATCTATCCATCCATCCATCCATCCATCTATCTATCTATCTATCTATCTATCTATCTGTCTGTCTGTCTGTCTGTCTGTCTGTCTGTCTGTCTGTCTGTCTGTCTGTCTGTCTGTCTATCTGTCTACCTACCTCCATCCATCCATCCATCCATCTGTCTGTCTGTCTGTCTGTCTGTCTGTCTACCTACCTACCTCCATCTATCTATCTATCTATCTATCTATCTATCTATCTATCTATCTATCTATCTATCTATCTATCTATCCATCTGTCTGTCTATCAATCCATCCATTTA